GAAGTTGAGTCTGTTAAATTTGCACCCACATTTTTGCGCTGAAGATACAAGTCCAGAAATATCTGCTTCAAACCACATCCATTTCTTAAAACACTTAACAATGTGTTTTAAGACATAGTGAGACGAAAAAAACATAAACAAAACCTCACTATGTTTCACTGGCAGGCATTTTGGACAACTAGAATCACTTTCTTTCTTTGTGCAATTAGGTCCCGCCTCCCATTTAATGTGGAATTCAATTTGTGCCGAAAAGTATTGAACGTTACTTTTCAAGAAATGGACAAAAATATACAATGGGAAAGAAGAAGAAAAGAAAAAAACTCTGAAACTGAAAACAGTGAAAAAAAAATAAACAGCATTGTTTGCTAACAGTTTTCGCTAATCATGGTTTATGAATGCTCTGTGTACGCAAGCTTACGTTCGCATTCTGGCAAAAATCTCACTTGCGGGCGGGACTTAACAACGATTTACTCTCATTGCTAGTATGATTTCGATCGCCAGCTCCTTGGACTGCAAATACAGACGTCCGTGGGACGAATTTTGGAGCGCTTTCTGGATGTGGTTCTCTGTAAAGTTATAGCGTTTATACTGTGTAGTGGAAATGACTTACTTACTTAGTCAGTATATTAGTTTGTAATTAATATTTGAGGTTTGGGCAGTTTCATACGACAATTTTGTCGAGGTGAGCTCTCAGGAGCGTCATCGTTGTTGTCACCATCGTCATCATCCTCAGCTGGACACTCGAGCTGTCGATCCAAATCTCACTAAGCAATGAGAGTGAATCGCTATCAAGCCCCACCCAGACGTGAGAGTTGCGCCAGAATGGCGCACGTAATCTTTGAGAGCGTAAACAAAACAAGTTAATGTACTGGCAACATTTGAGTTCTCACTCAATATTTTGGTTCCTCATTTCCCATTGGTTCTCCTGGATGAGTCATCTCCAAAGAGTTTATACAAATTATTTATACACACTGATTAAGATCAAATCATACACATACAAGTCTGAACAAATGGGGTTTACATGGCATCATGAACATACGCATCTCTTCAGATACATCATCAAGTACCATTTACTGAAGTGACAGAACACGGAAAGCTTTATAGTCCACGAATCTGCCCTTTCTATCTTTATTGTTGTTCTCTCTCTCTCTCTCTCTCGCTCGCTCGCTTTCCTGTGGTCTCTCGCAGGCTGAATAAGCACACAGGAAACATTTGGCAGGGTGGGAACAGCTCTTACAAGCGTCTGCAAATTGCTTTTCCCTCGGCCTGAAACTCATTACGATACTCCTGCAATTCAATTTATAACACAATATTTTCTGCTCTGAAGAACGAACTGCCACATGTTTTTGGATTTTTGAAGCTCACGAAGCATTAGAAACAACTCACAGGTCACCCACTCTTTTGCTTTTACAAGTCATGTGAAAAATATTTGCCATGTTCCTGTGCTGTCTCGTCCTCTTCACAGACGGCAGTGTTTTGGGAAGCTGCCTTAGCGCGACCCGATGGCACTCATGGTTTCCATCTTGGCTGACACACACTTTCCACATACGGGGAGCAATTATCACCACAACACAGCAGCTGATTTTCCTCAAGCATATTTTGCCTCAGATAGTGACGTATAGTTTGACGAATAGTTTGGCAAAACAAATCAATGTATACAATTTTCCCTTCACTACAAACGTGTAGTCAATATGCAATGACATCCCTGCTGAAGAAAACAACAACAAACCAATAGAAACCATCACAGAAATTCTAATGGTTTCCACTACAAATACAATTACAAACCATCAGCTAGCCAATAAAACCATTACCATTTCCATTATTGGTCCTTAATGGTATCCATTCCTTCAAAGGCTTTTGTACCAAATAAGATCCTATCAGGTCCATTAAAGCCTTAAATCAAAGTAGTTCTGTATGTTTTGAAAATTCTGAGTAAATCGGAAGGAACTGAAGCACTGTTTAAATCGCTGACTGATGCCAAGTGCTTGTCACGCAACAGAGACAGGGGGGTGGGGGGGCAAACAGGATCTGAAAACACAGAAACACAGAAACACACTCTCATCTTGTCTTTACAAGCCATGTCCACTTAGATCTGTGTTTAGGGACAGGACAGGTGTCAATAGCCTTCCTGTGCGGCCGCATCCGTGCAATCTGATATCTGAATCAACCGGAAACGAAAGGAAACGGAAAGGGAACCAAAAAGCTGTGACAATAGGACACTTTAGAGAGGGACATTTTAAATACTTAAAAACATCCCTTCAGGACACAGAAGAGGGCTTGCTGTCTGTACAGGCCATCTGAGTAGACTGGAGGAGGAGAGAGACCGCATGAGCATGATAAAAGTATATGCTAACACCCTTTGCTAAGTCTACGCTAGTGTTCTAAACAAATAATAATAAAACAATATACTAAATAATGATACATGTAAAAACTTTAAAGAACATGTGGTTTGGTAACGTGCACATATACTGTATACTGTGTGACCAAAAGAGTGGTGTTGCATCTAGAAGCTAGCAAAGAGCCTGCTCGATAATTAGCGGCTAGTGAGATCAAACTCCACACACTCAGTTAAAATGATAAGGTGTCATAAAGGCTAAATATCTGTCTAGCTATCAATCTCTAGCTACCTGTACAGTATCTCTCTGCTTTATTTAATTTTACATTTTACATTTTACATTTGGGGGTTCGAATCCCACCTCTGACATATTCTCCCTGTGCTTTGGGGATTTCCTCCGGGTAAACATGCGATGTTCGCGAATTGGCATTTCCAAATTGTCCGTGGTGTGTGAATGTGTGTGTGATTGTGCCCTGCAATGGGTTGGCAGCCCGTCCAGGGTGTTCTCCACCTTGTGCCCCGAGTTCCCTGGGATACGCACCAGGCTCCCCACAACCCCCACAAAAGTACTTTTTCGATTTTTGGCATATTCAGGTAATTGACAAGAAGAACCAAGGAATATAAAGGAGAGTCAAGTTATGGGTTCAGTAAATGAGGAAAGTCTGGGATATGTAAATATATTTGTGTCTGTGATGGTTATTTTGGGGAGGCACGGTGGTGCAGTGTTCTTGGAATAAACATCCAGATCCACCATAATCCTGACCAGAATAAAGTGGTTTCCGAGGACGAGAATGAATGATAATACTTTTGACTCAGCACAGTAACATAAGCACAACAGATTCTGGATCAGATGCCTCCGGACATACAACATGATTTTTCGTTTTCATATCATATTTACATACAGAATCTAGTAGTGTCTCTGCCTGGCATCTTCTTATATAACACTACAGAGTCGTGCTCAGCTCTTAAGCGCAGTGCTGTATTTAACTGCAGACAAGAAACACACCATCTGAGGCCACTGCAGTCCTAATCGACGCTAATGAGGATTTAATGCCCCCTTATAAGTTTCTTGCACTTGATAAATGATCATTATCCAGTTATCCACTCACAGATTAGCAGTACGTGCCTGGGATCACAAAACCTGTCTGTTCCTAACACTTCAGTGTGACAGACTGGGTAAAGTTAGTATACTCAGATACAGAAGCAGCCTCACCGGCATGCTTAGATAAGCAAGGCTCTCTGCTTATCTGGGCATAGCTCAGCCTTAGAAAGTCTAAAGAATCCCAGAATCCCGTTTTGATCAAACCGGACAGTTTTGGGACCTGGAATGCCTCCCACATCTGCACGGCTTAGTATATATCACCTGGTCTGGCATATCAGGAGCAGACAGGCATTTCTGCAGTGTTGCTTGAAGAGAGAACAGACCCAAAGCAGTGCACCAGAATAACACATATAGATATGTAGCATTCACTTTTAACCTATGTTAAAAAATATTCCATGAATCATGTTTTCAAGATTCTGTCTTTTTTTCATATGTCCTAGATTCTGTTTTATTTCACGTTCTGTTATCAGACCCTCTTAAGTAGACAGTTTGCCAGATTAATGCTTTATTTCAGGCTAGTTCTTGGACAAAATCTTGGACAAAAACCAGATTTGCTGCTATCAGTTTGCTCATGCTAACCTATATGTGTTCTCTAATCTTAGTAGAGCCTTCTGCCTGCTTTTCTCCCAGAGCTGGTTTGTGTTTCTGATCCAGCTAGTTTAGTTGCTGTCAGTTCTAGCGTCACACGCTCTCGTCTCAGGGTGATGGTGGATTTTTACACTGACCTGCGGTCGGTTTCACACATTGCCTTATGAGATTTGGTAGGGTTTCTGGCATATGGATAACGGTTGAGAATGCATATTCCAATATTGTCAGAAGGTTCCTTTGGTGCCAAAAAATGGTGACTGCTTTTGTTGAATGCTTTACTGTTTTAGTTTATGTATTTGCTTTGCTTGGTTATTATTGTAACTTTGTTTTGTTCTCCCTGTTATCTGTTTGGTTCTACCCACTAGATAAACCAACCTCTATAAACCTTGACATGCAATATAAGTTACAAAGTGAAAGCTGCTTACTGTTTTCTCCATCGGGCATTCTGCCTTCTAGCTATATTCTGTAATCTCTTACTAGATAATCGTATTGTGAGCATAGGAAAATGACAACCAGACATAAAGCTGCCATGTTGAAACTACACTAAACTACAAATAAGTGAGAATAGTCTAAAAAAGATGACAATGATGAAGCAAATGCCCTTCAACTTCTTTTTACAACCCCCCCCACCCAAAAAAATGCAGAAAAAGGGAAAAATGGCTGATCATTGGACAAAGCAGTAAACATTTTTTAATACTTCGAGCTAACAATTTTAAGTTAGCAGAACATTCTAGAAACCTTCATATTAATATATTCCATCCATTTTCTGTACCTGGAGCCCATCCCAGGGGACCCAGAACACAAGGCGGGGGTGCCAACCCATTGCAGGACACAATCACACACCAATTCACACTCTATGGACAATTTGGAAATGCAAATCAGCCTAGAACACATGTCTTTGGACTAGGGAGAAAACTAGAGTACCCGGAGGAAACCCCCGAAGCATGGGGAGACCATGCAAACTCCGCACACACAGGGCAGAGGCAGGAATCGAACCCCCAACCTTGGAGGTGTGAGGCAAAATGTGCTAACCACTAAGCCACTGTGCCCCTCATATTAATATATTAAACTATTATTACAGCAGATGTGTTTTTTAGAAAACTGCAGGAATGTATTTTTGGGGTGTTAGAAACCAAATAACTATCATTTCTTACCGTGAAAACATGTGGCTAATACACACAGTCCTTCACTGGCCGATACTACACTATAATCCAAGACTACACTATAGGAAGACTTGAAAATCATGACTGTTGCATTACATTTATTAATCCTCCATTCTAGCATTTCAGACTTTTCTTTAAATGGCTGATTTTCTAGCAAGAACACTAGCTAGAAATACATTGTAGCATTTGGATGAAAAATATACAGTATGTACATTCAAATATCTGGAAGTTCTTAGCATTGAAATTCCACATAGCAACAGTTTCCTTTTCACAAAAGTTTCCAAGTAGAACCCCTTTAAAAAACTAGAACCATCCAAAGAATGTTCGAGGGACCTGTCCCAAAACGTTCTCAATGCATACATTTTATTTTAAATAACAGTTAAATTTAGTACCATAAGTCTAGTTCTCTACTTTGTTGTTCCTCTGAGGAAATCATTAGAGCATCCCTTTGGATCCTTTTTCAAAAAGTGTGTATTTGTATTGTGCTTTTGAGAACAACGTTGTTAGAACATTGCAGGAATGTTATTTTGAACCTACGGAATATTGAATGTTCTAATAATGTTCTCTGTTAGATGGACACATAAACTTGGGCCCTTGAGCAAATCTCCAGAGCATTTATCATACAAAAAATACTAACTGAAGTGAACTATTTTTGAGGGACTACTCATTTAAAATAATGCATAATTATTTATAATAAACCCTAAAATATTTTTTTTTAAGATTACATAGACCTTCATGAGTTTATGACGAGGATTATGATTACATGTTGTACATATATTTTCCCCCATCCTATAATTTGGTTTTCCATCAGACCAGCAAAATTGTTATTGAAAAAGATTGGCAGTATCAGACCCATTGAAGAGAATATGTTTTCTTCTTGACTGCATGTTTAGAACGCTCCTCCACACCGGAGTCTAAACAACATAAAGGCTCACATACGACACAGCCCATTTGAGACAAAACAACCTGAGCCGCCGAAGTCAACAAACCGGAGTGGACGGGGGCCACGTTTACTTCTTCACCCTCACCAGTGAGATTATGAGCGGTAAACAAAAACTCTACACCAGATGCACACTGCAAACAAAAGAGTGTGAGAAGAGGAGGGGCGAGGCCGAAGGTCAGGGTGAGGTAAAAAAAAAAAAAAAACATGAAGAGAGCTGAGAACATCCAGCAGAAGACCTACCACAGAAAGACCTACTGACCTAAGTGTTAGGAACAGTTCACCCTTGAAATGGGAACAGGTCCAAACATGCAATAGCACAACTGGTTTTATACAAGAGCCAGATGCATGGAAAGACACGAGAAAAAAAAGCCACATATACAGTGGGGGAAAAAAGTATTTGATCCCCTGCTGATTTTGTACGTTTGCCCACTAACAAAGAAATGATCAATCTATAATTTTAATGGTAGGTTTATTTGAACAGTGAGAGAAAGAATAACAACAAAAAAATCCAGAAAAACAATTAATTTGCATTTTAATGAGGGAAATATGTATTTGACCCCCTCTGCAAAACATGACTTAGTACTTGGTAATGACTTAGTAATTACTTTTAATATTCATATCCATTACATCTCATAGCAATGACCATATTCCAAGAATATGTGTAAATTTGAATTCATTCATTCATCTTCGGTAACCGCTTTAACCAGGTCAAGAGTCATGGTGGATCTGTAACCTATCCTGGGAACACAAGGCAGAAATACACAAATACGTACCATTTCACAACAGTTCATTCACACAATTTCAACATAGCCAATCTACCCACCAGCATGATTTTAGAAGTTGGAGAAAACCAAAGAACCTTGAAGAAACCGATGAAGCTGGAGATAACCAACATGCATACAAAACTCCACTTTTCTCTATAGTCTGTTCACACTTTTGTCTATTTTTGTGAACTACTGTACTTCTTTTCAATAGATATTGGGTTAGTATTAGCTAAATATGACCATTTATATTTAATATGGTTTAATTATGTTTCAGATTAAACAGCTAGCATTACCTTTCGCAGGATTGGCTGGCTAAAACCTATATTACCGACTTATTTGTAAATGTAATCCATTCCTTAAGCCATAGGGTTATAGCTGAATGGACAAATCCATAAAAACAGATAGATGCTCAATATGTATAATGGTTTTAATGGAGAATTAAAACCCCATGACCCCATGACCCCGGATACAGACACTCATGAACTATGGCATTGCCCTCTGGTTTGCTCCATACCAAAGGAGCAAACGTTGTCTGGACATCAATGAGCTGCTTGATGAAGGTCTATTAAAAGCTGCCGTAAGGTTTACAAGAGGCTCCTCAAAGAACGAGGGTCAGAACCAAATGGTGCTTGCTTTCAGGCCAGGAAATTCTGGCTACTTCCTACCCTGAAGGTGTCGTCAATCTTCAATTAGACACTGTGTGTGTGTCTGTATGTGTGTGTATGTGTGTATCAGAGCGGGAGTAAATGTGTCCATGTGTTAGTGTGGGATCTCAGCAGTGATTTGGAAATGTGGCTGAATATCGAACTACACCATAGTACAGCAGAAGAGAAGGAAATATTAATGTTCAAAAATCCTCAGATGTACAGGGAATACATTCGTATCCAATTCTTCAGTAATGTCACGATGAAGGTGGAATGATATAAAATAGAATCCTGGAAATGATGTAACCTGATGGGGGCATGCTGTTAAGAGGAAAATAATCAACAACAGGATGGTGTGATGCGGTGTGCAGGAGCATTTTATTCCTCTTATACCACAACTATTTTTCAACGGTAACAATTAAAGATTTTATTAATGAATGATTCATCGTATGTTTTATCCATTTATAGTTACATTTAATGTTGCAGAATTGTTGCAGCAATGTCACACGAGCGGGATCTGCAGTTATACTGGATATCGTCATGGCCGTGATTCAACATAAGCCACAGGATGAGTGCCGATATTCAGTTTAACCGCATGGTATAATTGCTTTTTTAACAAGTCATGATTATTGAGGAACTTAATTTCGGACACGACCCGGCCAAATGTTTTCTTTATTTTCGCTCTGCTAGCAGAGAAGAATCTACACTCACTTTATAGCATGTCGGATAGCTGGCTAGCTAAATATAAGTACTCTTGGAATCCTGATCAACCAATCAAATTAGAGGACCTGAACTAACTGTTGTATAATGTTCATTACAGGAGTTAGATACTGTTATCACGTTACGTTATAGACAGTTGTGTCTCTTTTTTCTCTCTTGCATAGTTAATAAGAAACTGAAACTAAGAAGGGCCTGAGCACATAACCATATCGCCGATTATATATTCTTCTTTGTTAAGTAACTTTTTTTAATTGATTGAACTCTCTGTGTTGGTTATGTACAGCATCATACAAGTCTCTGTGAATTATTTGCTACTACAGAAGCGATAATGTATCAGAACGATCGCATTAACGTAAATCTCTGGCGCTGATGTTCAACACCATTTGAGCAATCAGATTCCAGAATTCAAACGCACTATGGTATAAATGGATGATAGTATAGTTACACTTTGAAATGTATTTGATTTATTACAGTCCATTAATCATTCACAGGAAGTAGTATCAACACTGTTTGTTGCTCGATGTCACTGCAGCCTTGCATTTTTCATCCAACCAGGTGGTCTGCTTTATTTCGTAAAGCTGTCTGGCACTTCTGTTGCCGTTTTCCTCGCGATTGTGATCGTAGCACCGTGGCTGCCCGGCACCCGTGTGGATTTCCTTACCTGCTGTTCCAGGGGTTCTGGAGGTAGAACCGACGGTCTACAGGATGTCAGGTCTCCCAGGGGAATCCCAGACGTACGTGGCGTCAAGCTCACGGCCTCCTCATTACAATTTACACGGTGGCCTACAGGAAGTCTGGGCTTTTGAGTCCCCAGGGTTCTGCGTAAGGGTCAGTAGGATCAGGGTCAAAGGATACCAGGTTTCTGCTTACAGATATGTTATAGAGATCAGTGCTACTAGAACGCGAAAAAGATAGACGAGACAAATCGACATGTACATTATAGATTTCATATGTAAAGTAGGTTTGGAAAAAATAACTGTTATGGTTTGTGTTCATAGCATCTAAGACCCTGGAAGAAATGAGGTGTATTTAGCTATCGTTACATGTAATAACGCCATAAACTCGGTGTGTGTGCACGCCTGTCAAAATGACAAGACAGAGAATGAGAAACAGGTGGGGGGAAACAAGCTGACCCCCTCTCCATTTGCAGGTTGACATGCTGATCTATCTTTACAGTGGGAGTAAAGAGGGGGAGGAAGGAGGTGCGTTCCCTCTCTTTCTCGCCATGATTCTTGGCCCAATTTGACCACCATGGCACTACAGTTTGAGGGAACAATCCAAGAATTCATTTATGATCTGGATTCAAATAGGGTCTTAACGTTTTTACACTAGCAAAAAAACAACAACACGCTGTATAAACCTCGCGAGGTTGTGTTTTTTTTTGTGATTGTTGAAGGCCAAAAATGCGTGAAGTAAAGAGAAGATGACAAGGAACTTGTTTCAACGGCATGAACAACCTTTTTTTCTCAGGTGATGAATCAGAGACTCAATTTTGGAGACTTTAAAAAGCTAGAACTTCACTTCATCTTGAACGACACGCAAAAGGGGAACAGATTTGAGTTCAGAGAATAGTTTTCAGAACTCTATAGCCTATAATCAGTCCGGCCCAGGACTTTGCGATTTTGCGATCGTAGAAATGAACGCGATATCAAGCAAACGCCGCAATATTCAAAGGAGCTCACAATTTTTCAAAATTACCGCAGACTTTCCACAGATTTGGGCCAAGACGTGTCATGTGACA